CCCCCCCCCCCCCCTCCGCCCCAAAAAAAATAAAAATAAAAAATAAAAAACCCACTGAAAGTGACAAAGATAAAAGAAAGCAACTCAGTGGGTATAATCACCAATGTTTTTTTTTTCTCTTTCTGTACAGAGGAGGAAGCAAATTACATTTCTCTCTAAGACCAGAATTAGTGAAAACACAAAGCAAAAACAACAATGGACCGACATGAAAAGCCCAAAACTAAAAAAGAAAAAAGAAAGATAAAGTGATGCATCAGTCAAATAAGTGTATCCAAACTGGAGGTGAACCCACTCCTCTTCCTCCGCTGCTTTGATTACCTTCTCTGTGGTAAGTTCTCTCTCTCTCTGAAACTTACCGAGAAAGAGAATCAAAGCCAGAGAGCTCCGGCTTCTTTGAGAAGCGGCACAAGCGTGCCGTTGATGTGAGAGGCCATGACTCTGTCCATAGCACCCACGAGCTTGCCTCCGATGAAGACAACAGGCAGAGCTGAAGAGTTGCCCAGAAGCCTGATCAAGGCCTTCTCCATTTCTTTGCCTCTGGGGTCTTCATCGAGCTCGTACACAGTTGGGTTCACACCCATGCCACAGAAGAGCCTCTTAACGGCATGACACATGCAACAAGTGCTTATGCTGAATATTACCACCGCGTTCCCTGAGGCTAGCTCCTCTATACGCTCTAGTGGGTCTCCAAATGCACTACTCCTTGCTGGCAAGTTATAAGAACCCCAAGGCTTAGTTTGGAAATGCATGGTTTCAAATGTAAGTTGATTTGGGTGAAGTTTGACGTGAAATGGAGAGAAAGCTAGGAATGTCTGAGATTGTGAGTTAGTGCTGTTGTGTATGATTGAGCAAGTGAGAATGGTATTTATAGAGGTGACAAAGTAGCCAAGCGACCAAGTTGGGGAGAAAATATTCATTACAAAGGTGACATAACGCGAGGAAAGTGAGGTGGTATCATCAATTAATAATACTAAAACAAATAAACACACGAGACTCACAAAAATCAATAACTAATCTGTCATATAAATAAATAATTTTTTACCCTCCTGTCATGTAAGTTCAAGTAAAATCTATTTTTCTCATTTAAAATTTTATTATTAATAGGTGATATTATGTCATTAATGATTAATGATGACATAATATCACCGTTACATTCTTTATTTAGAGTGAGTTGGAATTATATGTTTTCGACATACTTTTCCTTTGAGGGGTGCCAGTGTAAATTTGTTATGAAAAAAGTTGGTCTCCTACATTCGTCAATGCATGCACGAGAGAGAGACAGAGAAAGAGGAAGTGAGAGAGAGAGCCATCATGATCTTTTGGAGACAGTTTTTACATGATCTTCGTTAGCATTCGTCGTGCAGGAGATGGGTTACCATTTGAACAATTTTTGAGCAAGAAGTTAACTGATAATGACGTCATTTGTACCGTATAGGGTGTCTGTTTGTAAAATTACTTTTTTATTTATGATAATTTTAAAATAAAATTATTAAATTACTGCACTTTTAAATTTATTTATCAAAATAATATATTTTTTAAAAAACAGAGTTGTCCCACTTTTAAATAGTGAATTAATTGGGTTTAAATTGAAATACCGAATAATTTTATCCAGCTAAAATTTAAAAAAGGGGTGATATAACCTTATTTTTAAAAAATTGTAGGTTTGTGGGCATGTAAATATAATATAATACTATGCACGTATAGTTGAGGCAAGAAGAAAGAGAAAGAGGGGCGGGGGAGAGAAGAGACAAGAGGAACAGGCTTTTTCAGAACGGGTTTCTAATTAGACGGCTGTTTCCGTCCTCCTTGTCGGCCCTACTTTATATGAAGAATGACATGAACATTTGATATGAAAGGATAAAAAAAAAAAAAAATTCACTCACACAGCTTCTAATTTATTATATTTTTAAAAATACTCTCTCGGCCCGTGTTTTAAAATCCGGTCCAGCTCAACGGGTTGACCCGATGAACCGGTGCCTTAATCGGGCCGATTTTGTAATTTGATCATTTGATAAAAGAACCCAGAATAAAACTTGTAAACCGGTCAAAAAACCGGCAACCCGTAAAAATCGAACCGGGTTTACAAAACCGGCCAATTTTGTTCCTTTATTATAAATATGTTTTTTTTTTATATTTTTGTGTCTTTTTCTTTTCCCCTTCTGTTTTGCCTTAAATCCTAAATCATTCGTTCAGTGTTTGTTAACTCAAAAATTAAATGATTGCAATTAAGTGATTCAAGTTTGAGGGTGGAGGTTGAGCTGTTAATTGAATGCATTAATTTGTTAATTGAATGCAATTAAGTGACTTAGGCTTGATAACTTTGTTTGATTTAATATATATTAAACATGTTGTTTTTATAACTATTTTAATTTTTTAGTCTATTTATCATCATTAATAATTATTTTTTATTTTTTTATTATATCACCGGTTCGACTAATGACCCAGTGGTTGAACCAGAAATCCATTGACCTCGTCCCTTCTCCGGGTTGGTGTTCGGACCGGGTATTAAAACTATGTTCTCGGCTATTCAAAATAACAATATCTTTTTTAATTTATATTTAAATATTACTAACACTCATTATCCTTAAACCACTATTTTTAACAAAAACAAATAATCTAAAATATAAAAAAATTTCCTACATAAACCCAAAAAATATTTTTATATAAAATTTGAGTCGATTAAAATTTATTTTTATACATTAAAAATTTTATTAGAGCTGATTAAACTTTTTTTTACGTATTAAAATTCGAACCGATTTGAGCTATTAATTAGCGCTAATTAAAATTTACTTCTAGTAGATTAAAATTTATACTTTTTCTTAATAAAATTCATGTCAATTAAAATTTGACTAAAAATAAATTTTTAATACGTAACAAAATATAATTTTTAATCTACTCGAATTTTAATACATAAAAAATAAATTTTAATTAACTCGACTCGAATTTTAATATATAAAAAAAATTTAAAAATAGATGGGAACTCATTGAAGATATGTCTATCTACCGAAGGTGTGGATGAAATTTTTCTTAAAATATATCAGGGACAAATTAATGAAATTACATTATAGTTAAAACTTTTAATTTGATAAAAAGTGTCAGTGAAGATTCAAAAAATAGAGGGGATATTCTTGAAGATATGATAAATTAGAAGGGGTGTGACTAAAATTTTTCCAAAAATAGATACCCTTTGAATTTTAAATTTTAAATTCAGATTAAACATTTGAAATGCCATTTAAATTTGAGATTCCTATACTTACCCCCAAAAAAAAAAAAAAAAAAAATTCCTAGCATTTAAGCCATCTCATATTCGAAAAGAAAAATTGAAGAACCTTTTAGCTGAGTGGTTATAGGAATAAGATTTGACTTTTCAAGTGGGTCGAGTGGGTAGGGTTCCCTCGAATTTTCGTCGGGTGCCATCACCTGGAGGTGGGCTTGTTGGTTACTTATCATTAATGACACTCTTGAGAATCAATTATTAGAATGCGATATTTTATAAATATATTTAGCAATTTATATATTTTAATTTATTTATTAAATTATAACACTTTTAAAAAATAGAGCTGCTTTTAAGTTTAAGTCTTTTTATGGGCTTGCTGGAACATTTAACAAAAGTTGGGTTGTTGATTTCATTTTTTAATAAAAGAGAGGTCTAATAATTCTATTTTTTAAATAAAAATTTGGAGATCAATCTCTTTATAAGAACTTATTTGGAGATAAGTCTAGTAAGAAAACTTATTTGACTTTAAGTTTGTTTTTGTCACTTTTACGTACTATTCTAACTCCGCCTTTTAGAAATATAATAAACAACGTTTGAAAGAAACCTTTCAAAGGCAGAATCATTCTACTACTCCAGACATTGTTGTCTTCAAATTCGGTTATAATCTTCCCAACGTTGTCTTCTCCGAAAATCAAGTAACTAAAAATTTCCAAAAAAATCGTTCACATTCAAATTTGAAATTGAATAGATATAGTTTAAACCAATTAGATGTTATTATGCCAATTTACTCTAGAAGTCATTGACGAAGTTGTGGTTCACTCTTGGCATTCAAAACATATTCAAGCCTTTGGGATTCAGAATTAGTGTTAAAATATGTGATTTTATAGTAACGTTGCTCTTCATTCTAGGGTTTAAAAAAATCTTCTACATAATCAAGTTTTCAAAATTTTCATTTTTGTTTTGCATTCCTAATTTAAAAATGCGATTCATTGTTACTAATTAAAATAATATAGTTTTCAATATTTTTTTTTGGATGTTTTGTTGGGCAAAACAATTGAAAAATGATTGATTGTGTTACTTGGAGGAAAAAGTGGATGTTAATGTGAAGGAAAAGGAAATTTGTTTTTACATATTCGATATCTTGACATTCACAAGTGGTGATGTGTGTTCTAATTCAACTGTCGATTATGTGTTACTACTCTAAATAATGTAATTTTCCTATTTGCGGACCGTATTTTGTGAAAAGTAAGGGTAAATTATTGTTAATGTGGAAGAAAAAAATATTTCATTGATGTTACTGTATTAAAAAAATATAGTTGATGTTACTGTACAACATATATCATCCTGAGAATTGATGTTACGATGAAGAAAATTTAATGTTACATTACACTTTGATGCTATTGTTGTAGTATTACTGTGCCTAAAAATTTGATGTTACTGTAAAGAAAAAAATAGATGTTATTCAAATGTATAACAAAACAAAAATTGGTAAGAATTTGAATTTGAATTATTAAAGAAATTTTTTAATCTATCGTCGTAAAACAAACATTCTTATATTCAATCACCAGTTTTCATATATATATCATTAAACTAACATCTATGGTCTTCCATAACTGACCAAAACTAACATTGTTAGGAATATTTTTAAGATTAAAAAAAAAAAAGTAGACTTAACTATTTACTAAGAGTATTTCCAACAATGCTATCTAAAATATTTACTCAAAATATATTTAAATATTGTATTATTTACTTTAACTAATCACTTTTTCAAATTCACTCTAACAACACTATCTATTTTAGCTAACCGCTTCAACTAACTTTTAATAATAAAATTCAACTAACTTTTACTACTCCCAAATCAAATTCTCTTAAATTAAATCATAAAATCCAAAATAAAATCACCTCAAATTAAACAAATAACCGAAAACCAGATTTTTAGGGGAAGTTTACTGAATTTTGGGGTGATTTTGTTGAATTTTTTGGGGGTGTTGATGAATTTTTGGAAAAGTTTATTGGTTTTTGGGGGGGTTTGGTTGGATGTAGCTAGTGAGAAGTGGCTAGCTAGATGTAGCTAGTGAAAATGAGGTTATGAGAAATAAATAGGGGAATAGCTAGTCTGTTGGATCCACATTTCAAGAAGAAGTTATCTGAAATAGCTAAAAAGGATGTTTTACCGAGCCTTTTGGAGTTGCTCTAATAAGATTAAAAATGGATTTATTAAGTTTTCTTGACGGATTCAAATAATTATAAATCCATCCAGGAAGACTCAATCCCAATTTTCACTTTTTTAAAAATACCATAATTTTATTATTATTTTTGGACCCAAAAAATATCGTAATTGGTAAAATGTCTCACTCTGCTACTTGATTCATATTCTTGACGGCTGTGATCCTACTATATATATATATATATATATATATATATATGCACCCTTTTTTGTCATTGGATTTGGACGGTTTCTTGATATGGTAACACATATGATGCTATCTCTATCAATCAAATAAGAATCAAATCATAAAGGTTAGAAAAATCATGTTTATCCGTTTGTGATTTGCTTTTTAAGTTTTTAGAGATGCCTCTTCATCATTTATTTCCTTACTATTTAGTATCCATGAGTATTTGGGTAATTTCTATGTCACCTAAATTTTTTTTCATTATTGTACTAAAAATTATTATTTTTTAAAGTCAAATTACATCTTTTAAATGTTAAATTATAAATGTTTAAGACAATTTCTTCAGTTGTAATTTTATTTTTAAAAAGTATAACTTGACCTCAAAAATAGTAACTTTATATTTAAAAATTGTAACTTTAATTATTTTTTGAATTGTACTTCTACTTTTAAAAAAATGTAACTTAGACCATAAAAATTTTGATACGATAAATATTGTTTGTACCATATGTAATATTTATGTAAATGTCGGATTAAAGAGATTAATAGATCGTGGATTTGGGTTTGAAATTTTAACTCTCAAAAGTATTTGTAAAACTACAAATTTCGACCAACATTGATTTGGTATAAAGCAAACACAAGCTTGGTTTTGTATAACAGATAATTAATACAAATAATACTTGTTGGAATATAAGAATTTAAAGATAAAAAAATAATAAAAACATAACACAAAGATATAACGTGATCCGATATAGTATACTCACTTTGGTACACTATATTTAGATACACAGACCAAAAATCTATATCAATATATTATTCACTGAAAAACTGATCGTCTAGTAGTTAATTACATAATATACATCCCTATTTGTAGGAATAAAATACTGTAATTCAAATCTATTAAGATACAATTTGATCTTTATGTTTCCTATTATATGTTTAACATACTTATTTATATTGTATTAAAACTCTTCCAATATAATCCTATTCTATATAGGATTATCACGTTGATTGTTCAATAATCTCTCATTCAGAACAATTAGAGAGTTTGAGTTAAATTTTTACAAATTGTAATTAGGGTTTTCATTCTATTTTTTCCGAAAATGAGTTCTTAATCTATTTTTAAATAGAAGTTAACGATTAATTTAATGATCACCATTTTTACTATTAAATTTTAAAGTTACGAGTTTGAAATATGTCATACCCTCCATGTAACAGTGTCATACCAACAAAAACAAAATCTATTTTTAAATGAGCCATCTAGGTCACTCATGGCTTTGGAAGCAGTCTGTGGAAAAGGCGTTGGTGTGGACAAAGACTGACCAAATTGATAAAAGGAGAAGATTCGACCCCTGCTCCTTAGGGATCATGTCCCTTGTTGTACTTTCTATAACATAAAAATAGTAGCAATACAAACTCTACTACGTTATTACAAATTAAACATTGATTGTGTAATAATTATATTTTTAATAATAACTTTTTTTTTAATTATATAAATTAAAGGCAGAATGAAAGTAGAAAAAATAAGAGACATAAATGTAGGTCATTGGAGTGATTTGAAATTAGAGAGGGTGTTAGTAAAATTGTTTGATATCGGAGACCGTACACGGAAAATGATATTTTTAAGCGAATTTGTTTTTTGAATAAATTTTTTGTTGTTAAATGAAATTAGATAAAAATTAAATTAATTTTAAACGTTAAAGTATTTATATAAATTTACAATTCAAATTGATTGCTGTGTAGATTCTTCCATCTAATCTAATGGCACGAGGCTGAAGGTATTGTGGACTTTTTAAGGAGCAGTGGCCTGGTAGTCATAGTAGCCCCACATTAGGGTAGTGCCTGGACTGCGAAACATAGTAAGTACTCTCTGCTTCAAGTTCTTAACGACTGACAAATCAGTATGCCAGTCCTTTGTACTCTCTAGTCTCTAGGCCCCCACACCATTTCGATTCAGAATGCCCTTAAAAGTAGGAATTCTCTTAAAGTTCCTAACTAGATGCTTTTTGATTTTTTCATTGTTTGTGTGTGTGTGTGTACACACACAAAGAGAAATATTAGAGTAAATTATATACATTTGTTAATTAAGACATTCAACTTTTTTCTTTTTTTTTTTTTTTGTGTAAAATGAACTTTTTGGTCGGCCTCTTTTAGAACATGTCATGTGATTATATGACACAAAAAAATAAAATGATTCAATTGATATAATTGAAGTCTTTAAGAGCTCAATTGACAAAAAAATAAAAATAAAAATTCAGGGATTTAATTGACATAAATGTCATAGTTTGAGGATTATATGTGTAATTTACTCCAACTATTTGTGTCGCGTGAGTGATGCGATATATTTCGTCACTTTTTGTTAAAAAATCTAACGAAGATAGACAGAAGAATTTAATTCACACAATTAAAGAATTCAAAGACTTAATTAACATAAAAATTATAATTTGAGGTTTATATGTGCAATTTATTCTAAATATTATATGACTCAAGCCGGTAAAATCAAGATTTAATTTTGATTAAATTATAATCCCAAAATTAACTTACAATCCCAAAAAGATAAAATTCCAAATGAACTCATTTTCTTGTAACTCCATTAAATAGATTTCAAGCCTTACTCTTACTTGAACGTAATCTTTCACAGGGTACCGAAAAGTAACAGGTGAAGAAAGGGACGGAGGGCACCAATTGGATGACAACTTGTGTAAGAAGTATAAAAGTGATTAGGGGAGAATGGTTGGCCCACACATGGAGTCGGATGCTTAGAAGCAATCACTGGTGTGTGGGTTAATTTATGTGTATCTTGATTAATCATTTTTTATCGGTCAAAATAGAGGCGAAATTCAATGTGCATATAAGCCTAAGTTTATGTATAAAGCAAAAAGTGAAGAAAACAGAAAAATAGTGCACCTGCCATCTTAAATTACCTGAAGAAAGATACCATTTGTGGTATTAAAGAAAGACTTTCTAGGAAGTTAACGGACGCAGGAGAGGCATGATCAAACGAGGGTGGAAAGCTCAGAACCCCAGAAAATGGAAACTGTTAAGTGAAGTGGGGATGGCTCATGTCTGCTACTGTCAATCTTGTTTATCAACCTCATATAGCTTTTAAGTGGTAATAGAGATCAACTTAAAGGTAGTTTAAATGGTAATAAAGATAAAAATTAAATTTAAATATTTTGAATTTAAATTTTGATAATTCTTTTAAATCAGACTATTAAAAATTTATTGTTCATGAATATCTTAATCTCGAAGTGGATGATATATCTTTAACTAGATCGATAAAAAAATTAGTCAAAAAATATACGTAAACTGATTAAAACGCTCCTGGTCATTCAACCAAAAAAAATATTGTTTAACTCCCCCAACCAACACTTTTAGCTTCCCTAACCAATTTTTTGTGTGTGTGTGTGTGAGAGAGAGTGTGTAAGTTCTTAAAAATCGTGGCATGTGGGTTAAAACTGTCACCTGGTCCCCCACTTTGACCACCATTGAAAACTTTATGCGAGCAAAAGAGAAGACGGTTTCTCCTGTACATATACAATACCACAACTTTTCGGACATCAGCCGTTAAAGCACAAGACATGACGACTTTTCTCAGCTTTTGTTCCTCTTCTTCCTCTTCCTCTTCCAGTCGGTCTGCTTTTAATTTCCAAACTTTTTCAGTCTCCTGTTCTGACTCCTCATGTTTGTGGCTATTGAGCTTTAGTTTTCTTCCGAGTTTTAAAAATAGAGTTCATTTGAAATAGCCTGTTTTTTTTTTCCTGATGTTAGGGGCTTCATCAGTTCAATAATAAAAACCATGGTCAGTTGGTCATATTACCATCGTCATCCATGAAGTCCCAACATGCACTGCAGAGCATCATTACTAGAAAAATAAATCCCTCAAATAAAGGATAATACTAATGAATTAATTGACACAACAACGATGCTCTTACTTTCGCCTACACAATTACAATAAAATTATCTTAACTCCAAGAATTCAAAACAAGTTAGAATAATATACATTACACACGCATACAACGAGCAGAACTAATTAACATGAGTAGCCTGAAGCATAGTTGTAAGAATAGTATCAGGCTTCTGAAAGGTACCTAGAAGCTTGATGTGGTATAAAGTGTCTATGAATACCAAGCCCAATCTCCTCCTTCCGAGCACCACTTAAGACTGGTAATCCTACTGGCGAGTGATAGGTGCCATTGGCAAGGATGATGATGGCTGATTATAAAAGCTGTTTTCAGCCGGATAACCCTGATAAATGTTTGCTGGAGGGGCCATAAAAGGAGGGACCCCATTGATCGGAGCCCCTACATTGGGATAACCATGCAAGGGCGGCTGCTGCTGTTGGGTTACACCATATCCATATGGTACACTAGGTATTGAGCCAGAAGTCTGCATGAACTGGGGCATCGGATATGGCAGCATAGGGGGTGGCAACGGTGGCAATGGTGGAGGGGACGGTGGAGGAGGAGGTGGTTGCTCATTTGAAGTTGGCTCCTGGGAGGTTACTGGGAGAGTCTGCTGCGATAGGTTGGAATGTGGAAAAGATGGAACGGTTGCTTGAGGATTCTGAGAAGGTATATAAGAAGAAGAATGGTCATTCTCAAGCTTAGGTCTTTTTTCAGAAGGATAATTACTTGAAGATTCTTTCATTGAATTGCCAATGACACCCTCTGATGCCAGAGACGAAAGGACGTAAGTGAGCATCTGGGCTGAGGACGTCGATGCGGTTAGCTTTGCCGCAACAGAAGCCGCTACAGATTTCTGATCTTCAACGTGGAGAGACTTTTCGGCAAAAGGTACCTGTCGGGTGTACATCACTGGAACTGATTGTTCTTCATTTGCAGATGTAAAATTTTGAGGTGATCTGGGCGTGTGAGTTTCCTTCATACTCTGCTCAGCTGGCAATTGCACATTGTTGCAATTTGCTAACTGCCGGCAGATATTACCTGCCTGTTCTGACTGGGACTGCGCTGCCTGAAAACAACACATGGAAGGGCATGTAATCGACAAATGCCAGTTCAAACAAAGTAACCAGAATGAAATTGATGCAGATCAGATAAACTGTAGACATTTTCATCAGAACTATGGAATGGAATCAAGTATGGCAAACAGGTTAAATAATTATAGAAAATAAATCCCAAATAACAATTCATGCACCCAGGGTAATACTGCTCAGATGTCAGTCAACTGATACCTCAACATTTATAGCAGCCTCCACAACCCACAATTCACTATTTGGGTACTAGTATTCAGAGTCCATCCATTACCTACTTTTAGGTGTAAGAAAAATTTTCAAATGCATCACTCGGCTCAGATAAAGAAAGACATCTTCATTTTTGTGAAAATCATATCTTTTTCAGCCTGCCCAATGTCTCACTTAACAACAATTTCTAATCAATACTACTGTTCACACTACCTGTGTTCATGATGTCCTGATTGTTCAATTCAAAGCTGAAATTTTGTAATCGTGTCAACCATCCCAGTAAGGCACCATTAGCAGGTGCCCACCACACCACATGTAGAGCACAGTTATTTGTACAACTTCCAGCTTATTCATTGCCAGAGTCCCAACTAGTAAATCCTCAGATATTTACACATAATTACACACTTGCTCTTCAAATTTGCATTCTTCACACAACCACAAAAGCAGAGTAAATAGGATTGGATCCAGCGGTAAGCATGGCATGGCCATGGATCCCCAGCAACACTCCTCACAACCCAACCTATTCCCCCCCAAAAAAAAAAAGAGGAAGAAAGAGAGGAAAAGAAACAAACTTTGTGCAATTATCAATTTACTAATCTCAATGGTTAGTCATACGGAGTCCTTTAGACATATACCTCCCATACCAACTGACAAAATTATCCTCATTCTCATGAATCTACAATAAGCCAACCAATTATCGCAATTTGTAGCATGTATAACTTCACCTTCCATAATTTACAGAGGCATGCATACTTTGCAGCTTATTATACATGATATTTATGGAAAGGGTAAATTAGTCACTGACATGTTCCCATCTTCTCCACAGTTCTAGATAATCAGCTGCAGTAATTTCTAAGTTGAATGGTTTCTGGCATGTGATTAGATGTTATTAGTTCTGCCATTGGGGTGTACATATAAATTTTCGGATTACGGCATCTGATTCTTTTATTTTACGTTGGGATATTATACAATCCCAGATGTACAATTAAAAGAAAAACTCTTTTATAGAGATGAATAAGTGGAGTAGTCCTTTGCTTCACTTGGAAGAATGAGATGATGATAGAATTCCTTTAATACTGATTGGGTGTGTAGGTTTTTGGGTTGAGATGCTGCAATGAACATGAGAATAGGCTTTTGGTTTTTAACCAAAGCTTTATTTTGTGGGCAGAAGTTATGTGGGATGAGAATTGTTATTCTGAGATCAATATGAAGCAAACATGAAAAAAAAAAGGGGGAGAGAAGTCTAGCGTGAGGCCAATTAAAAGTGGGAGACCCAGTGTGGCCAAACTCCTGCACTCCCTTAATACAAATCATAAATAGATTGAGGCGTAATTGATCGTAGTTTTCAGTTCATTGTTCGTGTACATAGACACTATTCAAAATCACATATAGACGCTGTGTTGTAGCAAGAAAGGAGAAATCAGTTTTAAACTGGGCTATGCTCGACAGAGGTTTCAGACCTCTTGAAGTGGGTTTTCTCCACCTGTTCAGTCAAGTGACATGCTCTTCAAAAAAAGGTACACAGCAGACAAGCGGCTTGATTTTCCTTAAAGACGAAGACCCAGCATCCAAAGGGCTGGACTTAACTAGTGTCCCAAGAAAATGAATAAAGCATATAACTAAGTGCCCACTAATCAACGTAAGGAAAGCAGAACTATAATTGCTGGAGTCATGACCATGTTACAAGGCAAATTTTGTGCCAGTTGACTCTGGTCTAATTTCCTTTGAATATATCTAGACGCACACATTATATGCTTAACCCAATTTCAACAAAACATAAAAATACTTAACAAAAATCTCTCATGCATCTAAAGAATAATGAAGATCAGAAGCCAAACTGGCACATATTGTCACATTGTATTCCAAGCAATGAAGACAAACAAGTGGCAGATGTGTTACCTGGAGTTCATTACGGACTTGATCCAGCTTATATTCCTGACAGAAAACAGTGATAGCACTCCGACATCAGAAGATATAAGGAAAATGAAAAGAAGTACCAGAACAAATCCAACTACAACATGTATGTAAATCGCTAGCTGCCAGCAAACAACCTGTTCTTGAAGGGCCTCTCTTAGATGAGACACAAGACTGGCTCTTGATACTTCAATGGCTGTTAGCTGTTCAATACAATCCCTCAAAATAATGTGCTGTCCCTTAAGCTCCTCCATAATGCCAGACCCATGTTGCCCTAATTTAGAAAAAGAAGGGCATAAAATAAACTATAAATACATATAGAACCAACAAAATTAGTGAAATATCGTGAAAAACCAAATACAAATAGGCTGAAATTACAAACAAGATAAGTCCAACTGTCCATATATCACTAAGCTGGACAAGAGATGTGAGTGCTTAATTTGAATAACCCCATTCCACATATAAGTATCACATCAAGGCACGGAACAACAAAGTAATTAAAATCATACACAAAGTAACAGTTATCTTCAACTTGCATGTTTATCAGAATGAAATAATGGTGTGCAGTGCAACCACCTTTTGCGGACTCTCCATTACATTTGAATTCGGAGGATATCTAAAGGTATGACTTTTAAGATCATTGTTAGTGAAAAAAATAATTTTGAGAACAGCAACATACACATAAAACCAGTTTTTCATATTTGACATAAGGATGTGATAAAAAAATATATATATATTTTGACATAAGGAGCCAGAAAATTGATAGCATTCTAAAATTAAGTTTTTAGTCCAAGCAATTTCTGCATCATACAAATTCATGTAGCTACCTCTGTTTACTTGCATTGTTTCAATGCTTTGATATATAAAGCAGTGTGGCACATTTAATAAGCTGTGTGTCTTGTCCCAATAATAATAAGCAAAAAATATTAAACATGGTCTTAACTTATTGTAATGGTGCCAATAAGCAATAGTTTGTCCTTTGCAAGCTCTAACATAATACTACATGAAATAGCAAAGCCAATACTTTTTATGCCGCAAGAAGAAAGTAATTAAACTAAAAGTAAAACAATACATAATGAAACAAAATGAAATGAATGCATACAAGTGCACTAACAGGCATGCCTATTAAGTATAAAACTGCTATTAAGTAGAAAGCAAAAAAATTGTACAGGCAACGATGCAAGACGTACCTGATCTAATATCACCACCAATTTCCTTATTCACTTTCTCAACACAGCTAATGGCAGTCCTACATTTACTCAATATATCATCTTCATCCAGTACACCACCATAAACAACTTGATAACTGGAAACTATCTGGTCCCATGCATTTCCAGCAGGATGTTTCTGTTGAAATAGAAGAACAAAGTTAACAGTAGCAAACTTTAAATTTTATGCAGAAGTACAATATCCACAGAGATATGCATTATGCATAGAGAAGTGGAGTTACTAGTTTGAACCCTGAATGCTTCCCATTTCTGTTAGCATCACCCAGGTGCTTCCCCACCAGCTCTTTCTTAAGAATCTGTCCTCGAGAACCAAAAACTTTTCTCTCCTCCCAAATACCGATCTAGAATTGGAAAATGAATCAAAAAGAGAGAAATTAACAGAAAATTTGAAGACCAGATAATCTACTTTAATTGTAAGGAAGAAGTGGAACACGTTAAAAGACGTAAAAATAACAACAATGATGACAGTAACACGGGACAATAAAAGGCAAATATGAAAAGGGCCAACAATACTTTGGCCAGATGGAATATGCACTATGTATGAAGTTTAAGAATTCACTAAAGTTTAATATGCACTATGTATCCACATAGAAAACTACACAAACAACTATCCTTTAAAAAGACATATTGTGCTATTTATGTCTTATTGATCCGACAAGCTATCCAAATCTCTTAAAATTTCAAGCCAGTTTTTAGCTGTACGTTCCTGCTACATCATTATCCTCTAGCAAAATGCAGTTGTTACTTTTTCTCATGATGAGCAAACAGGGACATTTCTTTTTCATTTTGATAGGAAATGACAATATTATTAATATAAAAGAAAATAGACAATTACAAAAGGCATGTCAAATGTGGACAAGATGTCCCAACCAAAGACAAATTCAAGCAGTAAAAAACCTAAACAGATTACATCAAACCAAGAAACAAAAACAACTAATTATCTGCAAGAAGCTGTCCAGCTCGATATAATGAAAAAACGAGAGACATTCTCAAACTCTTTAGCCATGAACATCCAAAAGGAAGCCAAAAAAATAAATCTGCTCCTAAAGAGTTTCAATATCCTCGCTCTTATTCTCAAAAATTATTTTGTTCCTTTCCAACCAAATGACCCATATAGTAGCAAAAAAGGCACAGGCTCAAAGGATTCTCCACCTTCTTTGTCTTCCCCCTCTCATGATATCCAAGCCAATCCTAGATAACATAGTTCTTGGTGCCCCCCAATTAATTCTGACAGTTTTGTTGCTATGGCTTTTCTCCTTGTTTAAAAATTTGGCACCCAGAGTTAAAGAATTCAACAATATTCTGATAAATATTGTAAAAGAGGCTTCAGGTGTCAAAACAGAGCGTAATTCAACTTTGACCTTATTATCAAAACCAAAGATGTTGGCAAATGCTAAAAGAATAAGTACAGAAAGTTAGACAAATATACCAGCCGAAGTGCAGCGTTTCTTCCAAACTCATCCCAATTTTCAATTGCATCACGAAGTGTATCAGGAAGAACCTTCCAAAACTCGCCAACAAATTCTGAACCCTTTCGTCTACTGTTCTGCAGAATATCATTTGCAAGATAAAGAAAAGCCAATCGCTGCTCACGAGGGGAACAATGGAATTGTTTATCCCATGTTTCAACAACTTGTTTCGCTTTGTTCATATGAAAAATACACCAGTGTGATAGAGCTTAATCACATTAAGGAAAGCATCTCAATATCCTCTAGTTCAATGAATGGATAAAATGTTTCAAGAGCACTACAAGCTAAATTAATAGTAGAAGATAGTTATAACAGCAATGCACACAATGAAACAAAAAACTCATAAGCTACAGGTGATGGCCTGGATTTGTCAGACTCTATGTGCTTAGATGCATCAAAAATAATTAACACCACAAAAAGCAAGCGAAATGGAATGAATCAAATTGAGACAAAAATCAAACAGCGGGCCCCAAATCACTATAAAAAATTGATTCAATAAGAAATGATACCCACTGCAACGAATCAAGAACTTTTTGGACAGATAAAAACACAACTCAAAAAGGCAGCAACCAATGCTACAACATAAGCAAACAACATGCAGTGCTTTTTTCCTATTGCCAAACCAACTCTGCTTTCAAAAAGAAAACGAACCCTCTATACAAGTAAAATAAACCAGGATCTCTAGTATGAACAATGTAGAAGTCCAAAGAGGGAAGAGAAAAGTCATCGGCAAGCCATGAATCAAGATAAAAGGATACTCTCAATGCTTTGCTGTGAACTGTTTAGCTTGGCCAACTTTTCCACTAAAATCTGCGGATTGAAGGTACTTCCCATTGTTCCTAATGCAAAGTTGCCCGACAAATAAATCCCGCGGCAAATCTTTGAAAGAGAAGCCCCATTACAAGAACGGATACAAAAGAGAAGAGAGATGAATTTAATCTTGTAAGACACCACGAAGCAAAACACATGAAAGATGAGAAGTATCATTTGACGACAATAAGTTAATGCTTTCATCATACTACAGAAAACCAGAAACTGAGGAAGCTTCTTTCAGTCATATAATGCAGTGTTCTACCTCATAGTTCTAAGCATAGTTTGAAGTGATTTTTGATTGGAGGAGTCAAGTTACCCACCTTGCCAATATATGACTTGTGCTCTCCATCGTGGAATGGAACAACCCTTTTTGCAAATCAACTTGTACTATTTTTTCCATTGAAGGTACTAGAATTGTGGAACCCACCTCAAATTCAGATGTGACTTTTCCATGCATTGATGAGGACCATGTACCACTTTCAGGTAAAAGATATCATTAAACAGAAATCTAAGGGAATGCCCAAAAGGATTAGCCTTTGTAAATGCTTTTATTAGAATTTTACTCATCTAATCAGGTTCCCTTCCCCATCCCCTCCCCCCTTCTATCTCTCTCTCTCTCTAACACACACGACATACACGAATCTATTTGTCCAACACTCCAACTTAAGGAATTAAGTAATAAAGAAACGCTCAACCTAGTAATTAGTAAAGCTTGGCCAACATTGAGATAGACATTCAGCAAAGATAGACTCCAACAAGTATAGGGAAAAAAAAGGATGGTTTGCAATGCACTAGATTACGATAAAAGCCACATAAAGAAACAATTTGGGTTTAGCATGTCCATTTAATTCCTACAAAAACGAAAGAGGAAACATTGTCTTTCAATTTCTATCTTTATCTTCACCCACTAGCACAGTAGCAAACATCGCATTGCAAAAAGGCAACAAAAAAAACCACAGTTATGATTCTTGATTACTAAAAACACGACCTAGATACCGAGAGTAAAGAACAGTTTAGAATAAGACATCAATTAGGAAACTTTATGAAATCGAGGAGGAGCAGCAAATAATAGGCACGAACCTCTTCAAGAAAAATGCCTTGGCGTTTGGCGATTTGTGGTCGATTTCTTCATGGACGGGAGATTTTGGAAGGGAATTGTTTGAGAATATTTTTGTGGACTAGTGTCGCAGTCTTCTCCTTTTCATTCAATAGAGATGAATAATTGGTTGTAAGAAACTGCGAAGAGCTGTTTCTTCGGGTTTGGGAGAACAAAGGAGGGACATTGGTTGTTGTACTTTAGATCTTCAAGTACAAATATAGTTCAGAAAGCCTTGGCCCATGGGCCTCTTTTTCGGTTGGCCTTAACCATTTTTAGGCACGTGAGACATCTCTAAGTATTGCACGTAATGAAATTGAAAATTAAATTAAATTTTAATTCATAGCTGTGGTAAGAATTGATCAACTCTTTTATTTATTTTTATTTTTTTTGTTCAATTGTTAGAAGTGTCCAAATCAACTTATATATACCTTAATTTTATTTTTAATTTAATCAAAGATAAATTATTTACGCCAGAATTAAAATATTTATGAGAGATAAATCTTTTATAACTTAAACAAAAAAAATTGTCGAATTCAGAATATCTGAATTTACAGTTCGTTCTTATTACCACTTGAGTTATTTTGTTAATGTTATCAACCCTTTTATTCTATATATACTATTCAGTTGAAAAAGACAAAACCACCTATATCAATGTACATAAATCTTTAGTTTGTATGGACAGTTTTGTTATTTCGAATATAAATATCAGTCATGTCTGATTTAAGTGAGTAATAGAATGTTAACATGCTATAATTGGTTATGTCTAATAGTTGGAATGGGGATCACAACTGGTTCGGTAAGAACAATTAATCAAAATCTCAAAATACCCTAAACTCGAACCAAATTTTTATTATTAATAAAGGGGGAGGGTGTGGTGGTATCTTTTCCCCTTATTGGTAATTTTTATTAATTTATTACAAAAATATTATTAATATTTCATGTTTTTTTATATAATCACCTATTACTTTTTTTATATGACATTTAACTATATAGCTAGAATTATTTATTCTAATTTTATTTTTATTTTCATATATTTTTTGTGCCAGTAAGTGCATGACCTTAAAGTGATAAAAAAAAAATAACATTGCTAGGTTGATTAAGAAATTTTATCAAATTTTTTATTTTAAATGATGTTGCACAATTTTTACCATTAAGTAAATAGATTTCATTACCGTAAAACTTGGCAGCTCGCTGAAAAAAGAAAGAAAAAATTATATTCAAATCCTCTGAGATTTCACTTAATTATTCAAACTCTCTGATATTTGAAATATTATTTACAAACTTCAATAGATAGTATAATTATATACTAATTATAATTTTTTAAGAAAAATAAATTTTTATTTTTAATTTAATTTTAATAAATACATAATAAACACATGAATTTGGTTGTAAAATTCATGTTATATTACAAATGTCTTAGACCCCATGTAAGATTTTTTAGTTTTGTTCTAATAGATAATATAATTGTATACTAATTAAAATTTTTTTTTTTAAATTTGAATTTGAATTTTTGATTTTATTTTAATAAATGATATAATAAATTATGAATTTTAGTTGTAAAATTTAAAATATTTTTTATTTTATATTTGATTGAAATATTTTTTATCTAAGTATAATATTATAAATATTATACCATTAGTAAATTACATTCAGACCTACTAAAGTTTATATAAGTATATAATATTTACTAGTGGAGAGCATGGGTCTAAATGTTATACATGTATAAATTTTAGGGAGTTTTTATATAATATTTAAATATTAAGGAGTTTAAATGATTAAGGTGGCGTTTGGTAATAGTCAATTTTTGTTTTTTTTTTTCATTTTATGGCTAAAAAATAAAAAAAAATTTGTTTGGTGAATGTTTTTGTTTTTTGTTAACGTCTCCGCTTTAAAAATAAGGCTAAAATATTAAAATATCCAAAAAGATATTTTTGAAAACATCAAAAAAAAATAAACGCGTAAAGAATTAATGAGGTATTGATTTTGATCCTCTATATCAACAAAAATCATATTTTTTTTGCTCAGGTATAAAAGGCCCATGTCTTATTTTTGCCCCCCTCTTTCTCTCTCTTTCTTTCTCGATGTCATCGCCAATCGCCAAGTGGGGGTGGGTTTTCAACAATGGATTTTGTCGACAGTGGTTTGGGGTGGGTTTCGTCGGTGGTTGTTTGGGGGTGGATTTCGTTGATGGTGGATTTTTAGTGGTGAATTTCGGTGGTTGTGGTGACTCTGTTAGGGGTGAGTTTCGATGGGCGGGAGTGGGTGGGTTTGAGTTGGTTTTGGGTGGTCAATGGGGGTTGGGGGTGGGTTTTGGTGGGTGAGGTTGGGAGGTCAGTGGGGTTCGGTGGTGGGTTTGAGTGGTTAGTGGGGGTTGGGTGATGAATTTTTGGTATAATACTAAATATATATTTTTAATTTTATTTTTTTTATAAAAAAAAATATAAAAATAAAAATGTTAACCAACGTACTTTAAGTGAAAAATTTTAGGGAATTTAATTGTAATTCTCTAAAAAAAAAAAAAAAAAAAAAGGAGTAGATTACTGCAGTTTATCTCTAATAATTACCTTGTGTGGTCGGAAATCCTTGTAGATCCACATGATGTAAGAATCCGAATTTTGTTACAATTGAATTAACACACCAGATGGGGAAGAAAGAATAGCTGCCGATGAAAAGTCATCGTTTTTCCCAGCGATTTCGCTTTTGTAGGCGTTCACTAGGGTTCATCCATCCGAGCACCTCTCATTCGCGCGATCTCTCTTCATCTTTCTTCGCTTCGCAGGTTTGCGTCTGTTACATTTGACAGAAGACCGAAGTGACTATTTTTAAGCTTTCGAGTTTGTTCGAGGAAACAATTGGTGAGTTTGTACTTTCTTTGCTTTATGTATCAGGCCAAGGCCAGGCGCCTGCTGTTATCTCCGTTTCAGCTCTGACTTCCTCTCCAAAAGTGTTCGACTTTACCATCTTTGGATACCGGAGATCCCGGCCCGTCATCATCTTCACTAGTTACTCGCATCTAACTGCGATTGGTTGTGGAAATGAGGCTCGTCGGCTCAAGGAGGAGGCGAGGGTCCGTACTCTGTGTCTTGATCGCATGCGCACTCTTTGCAGGTATTGGGCTTATGATCCTCACACTCAGGTCCATCGATCCATCAATCGACGCTGACCTTCGCATCAATACCAACCAAAATGTTGTACAAGTAGAAGAAACCGATGCACTTCTTAATCCACACACTGAGACCGCTGGGACAACAAGTAAAGGATGCGCAACAGTGGAAGAGATGGGCGAAATCTTTCGCCGAGGGTTCTTGGAGGAAAGTCTCAGAGTGAGACAAGTTATTCAACACCACTTTGCTATCAACGGTATAATTTACAGTCGGTTATCCTTGGGAAGGCAAAATTTTTTTACTGCATATTGTATATTTGGTTTTTGCTAAGTCTAATTTTCCCTGATTATTAACACAAAAAAAAAGAAAGACTTGTGTAGTGTTTTCATGAACATTTATAGGAAATAATGGTTCTGTTTCATGTACTAGAGTGGCACTAGATATATAGGAGTATTGAAATTTGAAAGAAGTATGTCCATGACCATGAGTACAAGCTACAAGTATTCCTTTTGAAGTAAGAGTAAAGTGTATAAATCAGGGAAGTTCAGAAAGGTCAATTTATTTTGTATGCAAGATTGGGAGATGACTAACGGAAGTTTCTTCAATGTCAAGGCCGGTTCATAAATCTATTCGAGTATGGATAGGAGGCGTTTCATGGTGCAACCCTGGAGGAGGAAGGTTCTTGACTAGAAAATCCAGACGGGTTGTGAAAATTAATGCAGCAAATAGGACTTTTATGAGCTGGAATAAACAGTTATATGTTATAATAGGTTTTGAATTGTACCATTGGGTTCATGATAAACCACAAATGTGCACATGCGTTTGTGTGGATATAGTTATTGTCCTGGTTCAAAACAAATTACTGCCATTTGTGAATATGGAAACGGGTAACAGTCGCATGAAAAGCCTTGAGTTTTTTAAGCAGTCATGTATTTGGCATGCAATTATACTGCAACAAGCTGCTTAATGCTAGGCACCAAGGTATATAACACAGTTTTGGGGATTAGATCATGGATACAATCCTTGATTCATAAGCCAAGTGAAACATGTCAATGATAAAGATTTTGATGAACTAACCAAGTGGTTTGAAATGATTGAGTTAGTAAAATAAAAGCGTTGCATACTACTAGGAAACCTGGGCTTCCTTGAAAGAACACTTAATAATCTGTTTCTCCCCTACTGATCCCTGTGTAGGTGCTTCAAGAGTCCGGGGCCTTCCTCCAGAGCAGTTCTGCCGACATGGTTTTGTGATAGGGAAGGCATCTGAGGCAGGATTTGGTAATGAAATGTACAAGATCTTAACTGCGGCAGCATTGAGCGTCATGTTGAACCGGTCACTTATTATTGGGCAAACCAGGCATATTGGTTCTTTCTATAGCCTTTCTATTTATATTCGATTTTTGTTTTTTATTTTTATATAACAGCAAGTTGAATTGCCAATGCCAACTAAAGCCTTTTTAGTGAAAACAAAAATATTTCCTATTTAGAATGTGCTTGTAGTTTAGGCTATCCCATTCCAGAGTGGGAATTGCGGGCAATGTAAGTATTGTTAGCTTCATGATTTCTAGACAGTAGAATGGGATGGTATACAGCAGCCGAAGGTTAAAGAGTTGCAATGGGGACTCCACCTTTTACATGTGAAGCAACGCATAATGTAGAGATACAGTTTGAAATTTCTGCTATATTTTTGTTTTTGGTTAGCTAATTATTGCTTTACTTCAATTTTTGTAGGGGAAACTATCCTTTTGGGGATTACATTTCTTATTCCAACCTTTCCTTTACGTTGAAAGAAATCAAGCATCTGTGGAGACAGAATGGTTGTGTGACAAAATACGGAAGACGCTTAATTATGAGGATTGATGATTTTCAGAAACCTGCACGAACAAATGTCCTCTGCAGCAATTGGAGGGGATGGAAGCAACCCATCATATGGTAAAGTGAGAACATTAATTATCAATCTACTCTGTTCCTTTTAAGGGTTCATCAAATGACAACCTTTGCACTGCAGGTTCCAAAATACGACAGATGCTGTGGCAGCTCAATTTTTCCTGAAGAATATACACATTGAAATGAGGAAAGTGGCTTCTGATCTCTTTGGAAGGCCAGAAAATCTTCAATACAGGCCCAACGTGTTTGGGGAACTGATGAGAGTTCTCATATCTCCTTCGGAAAATATAGAACAGGCACTGAATTGGGCTCTTAATGGGGGGCTGGATCCTGATATCACGTTGCACATGCGGATGCTTATGAACAGGTATTGCATAGGAAAATTTAGATTCCTCTTTAGGGACTCTAATGCTTGATTTTCAATGCCTGGTTGATAGAAAAAGAAAAAAGTATCCTCGTATCCCTTCATGATAGGATTCTTTCCATTTCATTGTTTTTCAGGGTCAGAATCATACAAAAGATTCTGAATATAAATTAATTGCATGTATCATTCAACTTCAGTCAAAATGAATTAACGCTATGTTTACCTTCACTAGCCACATGCCATGTAGTTCAAGATTTGTTTGTAAAGGATGTTCCAAATAACTTACAAGACATATCTTTGAACACATTTGAAAGTTTGCTGAATTTTTTTTTTTTTTCAATTTTCGTTTGGCTGGAGTATGCAGTGCATGACCCTTAAAGAAAATGGAGGTGGCCATAGTATTTGAAGCCATATTAGATTCTAATATCCTAGTGATCCTCTGCATCTAGAAGGCACTTGCATGCACTTTGAACATCCCTCATAGGCTTCATTGAGCATGTTGGAATAATTAAATTTCTTGCAATTCATGATTCTGTTATGATGATATGACTTCTATAGTTCAATATTCTGACATTCATGTCCGCTGTTTCAGATCTGTGAGAGCGGTGCAGGCTGCATTGCGTTGCATCAAAAAAGCCATAAATAGTATGCAACTGGTGTCCAGACCCAGAGTGGTTTTAGTTTCAGATACTCCCTCTGTGGTGAAGGATATTGCACCATTTTTGTATGGATTTGCAGAGGTAATTGGTTGTGTCATATTGTCAACTGCTGTGTATTGACCAGAGTGCAGTAGGATACCATACAATCGGTGTTTAATGCCAAAATCCCACAACTTTTTCAAGTTGGAAATACAGTCATTTGTACTTTCACATCATATGCATTCAATGGAACTACATTACCCAAGTGCTTCTAATGTGGTTTTGCACTTTCCAGGTTCTTCATTTTGATCATAATCGATTTGAAGGTAATATATCCAGCAAAGTTAATGGATTGCATAATTTGAATTTTAGAGTGAAGGATTGGGGGCCGGCACCCAGATGGGTAGCATTTGTTGACTTCTTTCTTGCGTCACGTGCAAAACATGCTGTTGTTTCCGGGGCTCACCGACGAGTTGGGACAACATATGCACAGTTAATTGCAGCCCTGGCTGCAGCAAACAGGCTAGGTAATTCCGAGCCCTTACTCCTCTGGTTCAGACCTTCTTAATCATTGTTTTGTTTTTGACTTTGCTTTTTGTGTTTTTTGTTATGCGACAGAAGATAATTCTTCTGCTGGTTCAAGGTTTTCGTTCTTGAGTAGCTTCCAAAGTAATGTGCTTTCAGAAGGTTTAAGAAATCAGGTTGGGTGGGGACATGTGTGGAACAGATTTGCTGGTCCATTGAGTTGTCATAAGCAGTCCAATCAATGTGCTCTCACGCCACTGCTTCCTCCGGCTTGGTGGGATGGACTTTGGCAGTCACCGATTCCACGGGACGTTCGCAGGATGGAAGCATTCGGAATCCAACTATCTGGTTTCGGAACTTTTGATGACGATCGCCTNAGAAAATGGAGGTGGCCATAGTATTTGAAGCCATATTAGATTCTAATATCCTAGTGATCCTCTGCATCTAGAAGGCACTTGCATGCACTTTGAACATCCCTCATAGGCTTCATTGAGCATGTTGGAATAATTAAATTTCTTGCAATTCATGATTCTGTTATGATGATATGACTTCTATAGTTCAATATTCTGACATTCATGTCCGCTGTTTCAGATCTGTGAGAGCGGTGCAGGCTGCATTGCGTTGCATCAAAAAAGCCATAAATAGTATGCAACTGGTGTCCAGACCCAGAGTGGTTTTAGTTTCAGATACTCCCTCTGTGGTGAAGGATATTGCACCATTTTTGTATGGATTTGCAGAGGTAATTGGTTGTGTCATATTGTCAACTGCTGTGTATTGACCAGAGTGCAGTAGGATACCATACAATCGGTGTTTAATGCCAAAATCCCACAACTTTTTCAAGTTGGAAATACAGTCATTTGTACTTTCACATCATATGCATTCAATGGAACTACATTACCCAAGTGCTTCTAATGTGGTTTTGCACTTTCCAGGTTCTTCATTTTGATCATAATCGATTTGAAGGTAATATATCCAGCAAAGTTAATGGATTGCATAATTTGAATTTTAGAGTGAAGGATTGGGGGCCGGCACCCAGATGGGTAGCATTTGTTGACTTCTTTCTTGCGTCACGTGCAAAACATGCTGTTGTTTCCGGGGCTCACCGACGAGTTGGGACAACATATGCACAGTTAATTGCAGCCCTGGCTGCAGCAAACAGGCTAGGTAATTCCGAGCCCTTACTCCTCTGGTTCAGACCTTCTTAATCATTGTTTTGTTTTTGACTTTGCTTTTTGTGTTTTTTGTTATGCGACAGAAGATAATTCTTCTGCTGGTTCAAGGTTTTCGTTCTTGAGTAGCTTCCAAAGTAATGTGCTTTCAGAAGGTTTAAGAAATCAGGTTGGGTGGGGACATGTGTGGAACAGATTTGCTGGTCCATTGAGTTGTCATAAGCAGTCCAATCAATGTGCTCTCACGCCACTGCTTCCTCCGGCTTGGTGGGATGGACTTTGGCAGTCACCGATTCCACGGGACGTTCGCAGGATGGAAGCATTCGGAATCCAACTATCTGGTTTCGGAACTTTTGATGACGATCGCCTTCATGCTTTCTGTAATTTGAGGAAAAATGTGGTGGTAACTGTTCCACTGATTTGATTTAATTTGATTTTCTCACCTCATCTGGTGTTTGAATTGTAGCTGTTATATTCATTTGTCTATCTAGTTGAATGTCAATTTGTATGACTTAATGTGACCCACATGATTTTGAAACATTGGTGATAAATTATCAGAGATTAGTTGGGTCAGATAATCATAAGATTATCAATCCCGAACTAACTGGGTAACTAATGTTTTCTTATTGGTTAATGAGAAGCAATGATTTTTTTGATGTTGATCTACTTTAATGAAGTGGAGTTCATGTTGATTGCATATATAAATATGTACCGGTGCCACTTTGTGTATTCTAAGTTTGAAGATTATGAGAGAGAAATTGATTTTTGGGCTCCACCAAAGGATTGTTCTTTTTGGTCAAAGAATTCAAGGTTTGGACTAATGGCTTCAGGTATGTGACAAATTAAATTATGTTAACAATAGCCATTCATTTCAAATTATGGCACACATAGTCGACAGGAATACGCATTAATGACACTGAGACTAGTATATTCACAAAGGCTAGCTTATGTTACACTTTGTTCGTGTGTTGGATTTGCAGTCAATATGCTTTCTGATATATGGTGTTTATTTGAGGATTTTCAAACGTAGGCAAAGAAATGAATTATTTTCAACAATTTCAATTTAAAAATAATATATTTGTCTATGTCCTTTGTTGGATATTTGGTGTTTAACAGAAGAAACATGCTGCTAGGTATGTTCTTGAATGGGTTTTTTCTCTCATTGATCCAGTCAACTAAACCTCACTACAAGTGATTATATTGTCGGGGGTATGGGGGAATTCAATCTATGTTACTTTGAGTTTTACTATCAATCAGGTCAAGATCAAATACTTAAAATTAATCAACTTAGAATATTTTTGGAGAGGACAGAGCAAAATGCATGTTTTCACACTACTTTTACTCCAAATTAACACATTCTCCTTTGAGTGTCACATTTCATCTTTCAAGTGGCTAACCACCATAGTTTCTATTCTTGAATTGCACATTATGTTAGAACCATGGTGCAGAGAATTGTGTTTCGAGATTTGAGCTAAGTATCTAAAGCATCAAGTAAAGTTTGTGGGTGACATTTATTTAATGATTTTGGTGTTTGTTCTACGTTTTCTCGTGTGATGTTTCTTATATTATATTAGGTGACAAGATGAAGATATAAACTTTAAAACAGTTTTGAAAATTGGTCTGACACTGCTGCTTGATACTAAAAATTTACACATGATAGGAAACTAAACTAATGTAGAATAATAGGGATTGCATAGCATTGGGCTAAACTATCCCATGTTCATTTTCAAAAAGTGTAGTACTTTAATTTTTGAGAATGAAAGCAGCAAAATTTCCTCAGGTCATTATACACTTATGTTCTTTGATTTGATCGAATTAAGATATTTAAACATCACACTTATTGTTTCCAAATGGTTGCATGTACAAAGCTTGGCAAGGTTGCTTTTGAATGAAATTTGTCAAGGCAATAAGGTTAACTATTTACTAATAAAATTTATGAATTTTTTAAAAAAATAAGGTTAATTATTTTATGAGTAATTTTTATTTGAACTTTAGCCTGATTCGGAAAGGAATTATGATTTATTATTGGGTCTAATTATTATTTTTAAACTTTTATTTGTTATAATATCTATTTTCTAGATAGGCAAGTGATCCACGACTTAATGACTTAATATACAATATTTAACACATAAAATTTACATACAACACACGTGTGCAATTACTAATCTATATTTAAAAAAAAAAAAAGAAGAAATTATAAAATTGTGTCTGAGTTAGACTTTTTCAATGTGTCTAAGCGAGAAATTAAGAAACAAACATGAGACAAATCATGTTTTCTTTAATATATCTGAAATATGAATTTTGATAAAAAAAAATGGTATATTCATAAAATGACAAAAATAACCTCAATGATTGTAAAATCATTCAAATCAAAATCAACAATCTATATCGAATTTTGGCACATTACCTTTTGTAGTACCATAGCATTATTATTTGCATATATTTCTCAGTTCACAATACAATGGAAGGAAAATTTTGAGATAGAGAGTAAAACAACTCAATAGGTTTCGGAGCCTCCAATTTGTGATTGTTACCTTTCCATCTACTGTGCCAACATAGGTTTTGGATCAACCAGCTTGTAGACATGAAGTATTGTACATGTGTGTATTTATTTTTAGTGAAATATAAATTTTTTTATATAAAATTTTTTTAAGTTTGACCACAAACAATTGAAGCATTATGATTTTGGGGCTTGTTTATTTGCCAATTGGGTTATTAAATTCTTTGAGATTGATTGTAAAAAGGTGTAACTATTTTTATTTTATTTTATTTTGTTTCTATATTTCATTTTTATTGCATTTTAGCTATTTGAGTTTAATGTATTTTTTTTAGAATCAAATATGATCCAAAAAAATGACTATGTATTCTTTATTTTAATCAAGAATAACCTTATTTTAAAACTAAATATGATAAAATATTTTTATTTCAACAATAAGGATGTGCATTAAAAAAATGATTCTTTTATAAGTAATTGTATTGCTAGAATTGCTTGAGGATCGATTTTGAAAGATGACTACATTACTTATTTTGTATATGAGAAAACGAGAATAATGATTTTTTTTGATAAAATTATAATTATGATTTTTTTTTTATAAAATTATAACTTTTTTATTCATATGTTTGTATTAAGCTTTGAAATGATGTTAACCTCAATTTCTTAAAAAAAAAAATAACAAAGAAAAAAACGTTGGGATTGTAAGACAAAATAGCAAATTCCGTATAAAAGCGGTTAAGGCGGTATAATTCTTGAAAAGGGTGTTTATATGACTCCTTTGAATTCAAGAAACCATACTCAACAAATTCTTAGGCCTTTCTCTATAAAACCCTTTTTTTTCTTCTCGGCGAACACTTGTCAAAATCTCTGTGTATGTAATATAAAGTGAGACATATATCACATTTCGTTTCAGAAGTACGTTTGATCAGTCTCAAGAAAATGGGTCATGGTTGATGCTTTGGTGGGAAGACCGCGGGGGTGAAGTTGAAGAGAGAGACAGAATGCGAGCCGCCCCATACTTGCTCCACCGTCCCTGATGTGCCTTCCGGTGAGTTCTTGTTAGTTTAGTGTTTTGAATTGGTTCAATGAACTGATGACACACTTGGTTTATTGTTTTCCATGATTTTTCTATTGAGTTCTTCCCATTTTATAGTCTAATGAGTAATGCCTGAATTGGGTTTGACGTTTCTTTCATTCTTTTTTTTCTTTGTTGATCAAAGTGGATTTAATGTATCTCTCAGTTCTAGTTCTTGAAACTCAAAGTACTTTAGTAGGCAATGTGACTGACTATCTTCATCAACCAAAGTTACTGTAATTTTTGTTTTGTTAATTGATTTTTCAGTTGGTAGGTGGTGCAATCTTTGATTCTTTGAAACCAAACAATTCTATTAGTTGGTCTATGAGAAATCACTGACAAAGGTTCATAAAATGCTGTTACAAGAAAACATCAAAGCTCAAGGTCCGTTTGTTTAGCGGAATTATGGTCCAAAATGCAAGAAAGAGAAATTTTTTAAATTTTTTATGTGTTTGGTTACCATGAAATGAAAAATAATAGAATTTTTTTTTATTCCATGCTTACATTTTCTCACAACTAACCAATTTTTTTTTCTTGTAAAAAACACAAGAAAATACAAGAAAGCTGTGATGTATAACTAACTTCCTATTTTACCCTTATTTTTCTTAAAATATATCATTAATTATTAATTTTAAAAAATCTTGGTATGGATTTAGTTAATAATATAATTTGACTGAGATACTTTTGTGTTGATGGTTGTCCGAATTAGGTGAGGAGTAACCTTTTTAAAAAAATTTAACTTTTAATTATAATACATATTTTTTTTTCTTTAAACTGATTTAATATAATTAAGGATAATTTAAGCAATTAGAATTTTTTTTTTATAACTTTCTTTTCTTTTAAACAAATCTATTTGCTAAAAATGTGTACTTAGTCACGGTGGTCTATGTATACTTATATTTTTCATAGATTATACTATTAAACAGTTACACGCAGATAAAATAGATGTTCAATAACACATATGTAATATTTACTATATTTTAGATGCCTAAATTACTAAATATGTGTGTGTGATATCACTTTATAACATTGAACATTTTTACTATGAAAATACTTGGTAACAATCCATACATTATTTTTGACCAATTAAAAAAATGCATAAAATATAGAATAATACATATATTAATTTTAATCATTGCGTCTTATCCAATAATAAATTTGTCTCATTTAATCAGTTTCATGGACAAAGATTTGTCAATGAGGGAAGAGCAGAGATTACAATTATTGTAAGATACGTAGACATTTTAATCCTTTGAATGATTGCACGAATAGTAGGGCCGACTCTAGGGCCCGAACACTAAAATAGTTGCATAGTGGCCATAAATTGGACCATTAAATTAGTCGTCTAGAGCCTCAAAAATTTAGGGCTCCAGTTTAATTTTTAGCCTTTAGTTCAGTTTTATATTTTAATGCCTTTTGAATTGACCAATTTAAAGACCCAATATATTTTAGAAGTCTATCTAAAACCTTATAAAATGTTCTAAGTTGTAATAATATTTTCACAAATTTACGTAAAGCCTTATAAAAAATTTTAAAATATAATAAAGTTTTCTAAAAAAAATTTAAAAGTAACGACTTCTAATTTTAAAATTAATAATCTTTTTCAAATTTTTTTCATTATTTTCACTATTTTTTTCCTTAACTCTCGCCACCTCTCTCCAACTACTTGTCTCTTTCCCGTTCTCATTGTCTTACTTTAGTTTTTTGTCCTCATCTCTAATTTCTTGCTGTTTCTTTAACACTTTATTCAATTTTCTTTGGTCTTATCTCTAATTTTTTGTTTTTTTGTTTTTTTAANGAGATACTTTTGTGTTGATGGTTGTCCGAATTAGGTGAGGAGTAACCTTTTTAAAAAAATTTAACTTTTAATTATAATACATATTTTTTTTTCTTTAAACTGATTTAATATAATTAAGGATAATTTAAGCAATTAGAATTTTTTTTTTATAACTTTCTTTTCTTTTAAACAAATCTATTTGCTAAAAATGTGTACTTAGTCACGGTGGTCTATGTATACTTATATTTTTCATAGATTATACTATTAAACAGTTACACGCAGATAAAATAGATGTTCAATAACACATATGTAATATTTACTATATTTTAGATGCCTAAATTACTAAATATGTGTGTGTGATATCACTTTATAACATTGAACATTTTTACTATGAAAATACTTGGTAACAATCCATACATTATTTTTGACCAATTAAAAAAATGCATAAAATATAGAATAATACATATATTAATTTTAATCATTGCGTCTTATCCAATAATAAATTTGTCTCATTTAATCAGTTTCATGGACAAAGATTTGTCAATGAGGGAAGAGCAGAGATTACAATTATTGTAAGATACGTAGACATTTTAATCCTTTGAATGATTGCACGAATAGTAGGGCCGACTCTAGGGCCCGAACACTAAAATAGTTGCATAGTGGCCATAAATTGGACCATTAAATTAGTCGTCTAGAGCCTCAAAAATTTAGGGCTCCAGTTTAATTTTTAGCCTTTAGTTCAGTTTTATATTTTAATGCCTTTTGAATTGACCAATTTAAAGACCCAATATATTTTAGAAGTCTATCTAAAACCTTATAAAATGTTCTAAGTTGTAATAATATTTTCACAAATTTACGTAAAGCCTTATAAAAAATTTTAAAATATAATAAAGTTTTCTAAAAAAAATTTAAAAGTAACGACTTCTAATTTTAAAATTAATAATCTTTTTCAAATTTTTTTCATTATTTTCACTATTTTTTTCCTTAACTCTCGCCACCTCTCTCCAACTACTTGTCTCTTTCCCGTTCTCATTGTCTTACTTTAGTTTTTTGTCCTCATCTCTAATTTCTTGCTGTTTCTTTAACACTTTATTCAATTTTCTTTGGTCTTATCTCTAATTTTTTGTTTTTTTGTTTTTTTAAGACTTTATTCAATTTATTCATTTATAAGTTTCTAATTTCACAGTTGTACCCAATTTTTTGTCTGATCTTACTCGATTCCAAAATCACTAACAATTATTAAAAAAAATTATTATCTTCCTAAAATATTAAATAAAATTACATTTAAAATTTTCGCTTTAGGGCCCAATTTGTGTTGGGCTGTCCTCGATCAAATTTGAAGATCATGCCATTTTGATTAGACCTTGAAGCGATATCCATAATCTCATAGATAGCACCATGCACCTTGTAATTTCTCATTTGCTGGAGTGGGTTCTTTTAATTTTTTGTGTTTGTTTAATCAGCATTCTTCTTGTGTACGTTAATTTGTAGGCACGCTCCAAGGTGAAACACCCGAGGAGTAACAATGTGCAAAAACTAGCAGATCCATGTCTAAAAGTCCAGTTCAGAAAGAGTGTCTTAGGCAAGGCTATACACGTGGCATTAATGTGTGTCCAGGATAATGCCGGGACTCGGCCTAACATGAGCGACGTGGTGATTGCACTGGAATACTTGATATCTGAGCAAGCTGGAACTGGAAGTGATGAGAGAGAGGGGCGCAAGCACAACCCGGAAGAGAGAAACACCAATAAAGGAAGAGGAGAGCGTGGTAGGTTACGAGGAGGCGGCCTCTAGGAGAGGGAGGGAGCTCTTCAAAGGAAACAACGATGTTAGACAAGGATCAAGAAGGAAAACGAGCTGTTGCTGAGGCCAAGAGGTGGGGAGATGCTTTGAGACAACACACTGATTTTTCAGAACTCAGAATACATAATAATAATAATAATAATAGTATATTTGCCATTACAGAAGATTTTTCAATTTTTTTTGAAATACAATTTGGTAGACAAAATATTTTTTTGACATCAATTATGAAATTTTTTAGGGATCCGACAGTAATGAATATTAGTGCCTATTATCGCCTTTCAGCAATGTTCAAATTCTGTTTAAAGTGTTTTTAATCTACTTAGAAAGGATAAATCTATTTTTGTCACTAAAAACCTTAATCTACATAAAATAAAAAACTACAAAGTTGTGTGTGAGTGAGAAATTAACTAATTAAGTTTTCACAAAAATGAATGTATGATTAAAAAAAAAAATGATAGATTGAAAAGGTGAATTTACTCATAAGGTGTCAAAAAGAACATGAACATGAGTAGATTAAGAGTTTTGATAAAAATAGTTTATGCTTCTTTAAATAATACACGGAATAATATCTTTTTTGTTGACAACAATGATTCACACAACACAAGTGACTTTGATTTAATTAATTATAAAAAAAAAAAATTAATAGAATAAAAAATGTTTTTTGATACTATAATTGGTCCTAATGATAAAGGTGGACATAGTCAAAAATTAATTTTAAATTAAGACAAAATATTGTTATTGTCTACCCATACCCATACCCATGACCGCAAAAAAAAACACACAAAAATTTATGATTAGACGGGTCAAATCCAATGCCAATTTGGATGAGGGAACCCGGAACCAATGGCCCAGTCAAGTGGGGAGTAACTGCCACGTCACCACATGTGTCATTTTCTCTAAATCAGAACGGTCCACATCCACGCTCAACAGGTCCACCAAACCGACCTGTCCAATAACCGAAAGCCACGTCACTCTGACCTCCCTGTAAAGTTTTAACCCCACCCACATAAGAGAATCTCTCTGTCCCTCGAAAAAGGAAAAGTTTCTGACAAAACTAAGCACATCTCACTCTCAGGCTCAGCACACACACACAACAAACCCCAAACACTCTCGCTCTCTCTCTTATGGATTGTCGGCCAATCAACACACTTTAGTCGTCGCTCGCCAGAAAGTCGCCGGAATCTGACACATTTAGGTCTTGTTCCATCTCAAAGGAGATTTCAACCCTTCGGAAAGGACTCATATTAGGATCCGAGTTCTTTTTTCGTGCGCAGTACTAGTATTACTCTTTTATATATTGACTTTCTTTACAGTATATTGTATTAGAGATCGCCAGTTGAGAATTGAGGACACAGAGAGAGATATGTATGTAGTTCCACCTCCGAAACGCAACGATCCGATATACGGATCGGATAGATTTCGGGTTTACCAGACATGGAAAGGAAGCAATGTAAGTTTTTTTATTTAATCTTTCTAGGCTTTAATTTGGTGTTCATAGTTTTTCATTTGCCTTTGCGTTACGTAGTAAAAAGCCACCAGCCAATTTTTGCCAAGTTATATATCTTCCCTTTTCTCTAAAAGGCAGTTAATTTCTGTTGCTTAGTAAAAAAGGTGGTTTACTAATTGTAATTGGGCCTATTGCGATGTAATTAACCAGTAAATTTGGTTGTAGCTTTTGCGGAAGTGGGTTTTATGAGGTTATGGACAGAATCAAGCGTTCACATTCTGTTTGTTCGACTCATATCTTATCATTGTTTGTGCTGTAAGTGTTCTGGAATAAGGGCTTGTGTGACGATGCTGCTTTTTTTTTTTTCTTTCAATTTTTTTGATTAAAGGATAAAATTATTGGAATTGTGTTCCGTTTTTTGCTCGGTTGTCTACATCTTGGGGCTGCGAAAAACTTGGTCAATAAATTCTGCAAGAGGAAATGAATCAGGTTGATGAAATATTGAATTTTTTTAAGACTACGAAGACAGTTTGACTCTGTTGGGGGCTGAAAAGTTGGAAAATTTGCCATGTACTAAGTCTGTTCTTTTAGTTTTCAATTCATGCATGCTATTATCATCTTGATTCGCCATCTATGACTTATCAATTCATATAGCCTCTGTTGAATCAATCCCTCAAGTTTTAATCAAACCAGTAAGTGGTCTACTTTTTTATTTTCTAGTTGTCACATCACATGCCAAAGCCTTTCCTCCTTTCTATGTTCTTCCACTAGCACTAATCATTTCTTCCTATAATTTTATTATAACTGATCTTTTTAGTGGTGGAAGAGGACGAGTACTAATTATTCATGAATATATTTTCCAATGCAACTTAGATGTCATACTCGCCAAACCCATCGAATAGTGTATGCTTTTGCAGTAATTTAACTTTATCTGCATGTTTTTTTTTTTTGGGAAAAGCATTGAGACCCTTAATCCAGGATGACATTTTGTTCTTTGACATTGAGGTTGCTTTTGCACTTCAAAGCTTGAAGTCTTTTTATGAAGAATGAATTTGTTATGGATAGAAATTTATCTTTGTGAAGAATAAATATGATATGGGGAAAACATTCATAATTTTGTCAAGATATAATAATTTTAATTGTTGTCTTTGTTCGCAGATTTTTTTTCTTCAGGGAAGGTTTATTTTTGGACCCGATGTAAGATCTCTGGCGTTGACCATATTCCTTATTGTTGCTCCCGTCACTGTTTTCTGTGTCTTTGTTGCCAGAAAACTTATGGATGATTTTTCTCACCACTTTGGAATATCAATTATGGTTGTCGCAGTTGTATTTACTTTTTACGTAAGCTCTCTCTCTCTCTCTCTCTCTCTCTCTCACACACACACACACACTCACTCACATACGCACATGTATGCACAAGTCAGAGAATTACTTCCACTTCCATTTTTGAATATCTTCAAAAACTGGTTAGCTGGTGGTATTGGATATCACCCTTTGATTTGCATGTTACTTTTTAATCTCTTTTTTTGAAGTTGCTTACTCTTTGGAGTTATTCCAATTAATTATTTGGTATTTTTGTTGATATTAATTAGAACTTGTTCAACAAACTCGCTGTATAGAGTAACAAGCTATTTGGTATCATAATGTTGTGATATGTGGAGTAAAAAGAGTAATCCAGTAAGAATGTTCTTTTTGTCCAGTGGCTTTAATGATGGGGGTTGAGGAGTGATTTTGCTTGTATAAGATGAAGGCCTTAAGTAGGTTGGCTTGATAGGATGAGAAATGACATGATGGCCAACAATCTAGGAAGAACAGATATGGATGCAATACAGATATGACAAGTAGATGTTTACAATATCATCTGTCTTATTTTTTATTAAGGTATTGTTACTATTGTATGACAACTACAAATACAGTCACAAATACCAAATATTGAAGGCTATCGACTATTTTGCAGCTCAAGAAAAACTATCAGAAATGTCAAATATGTACTTGGATTAGAAATCTCTAATGGCAAATGCAAAGACTGACCTTTTTAAAATTTTGGTGGCATGAAAACAGTAAGCTAAGGAGGAAAAAAAAAGTGCTACCATCAAGCCAAGAAACTTCATTAATATGATCTTCAACTTTGTCTTCTTCATATGAAAATATTACGGCTTCCATATCTGGCTCATCTAGAAAGACTTGTAACTTCAAGTAAGTGCCCTCCAAAAGCATCTCCACCAACGTCCTACATCTTGGTCTTCTCGTCAATGTACTGTCAATGACTCCTTGGTATGAGATGAAGATGGTTATGAACCAAACCAAACTTCAGCATGCTGTGGTGTCATTTTGTTCGTCACTGGTTACCAAAATGCATTCTTTACTTTTGGAAGCAGTTTCAGAATTCCATCTCTTTTCAAGAAAGTTGAATGCATTATATAGTATCCATAAATAGTTGGAATTCCTAGTAAATACTATTTTTGTAGCTGTTATGGAGTTATTTTTATTTAGATATTTACCTGAAGGAAGCAGATTTGCACATTTGGTTATTTGTACCTAGTCAGTTTTTCCATTAATCTAGAAAAGAATATGGCAATAGGGTTGTTCTGTGGTCTCCTGTTACTTTGTGCTTAACATTAAGATTTAGGATTTGATATGTTGCAATTTAGGTACCTAATTTCATGATCCAAAGAGTTATAAGCGGTACAGATGTGGTTGCCCATACTTGTGGCAGATGGTTTGATGGTGACCTCCTGTGAAAAACACTGTGACTACACCATTTAGTGAAGGTTCATGTGTGGCCACAAATCCTGAGATTTTGGTTGCCATTGAATGGATGTGGTATCCATACAGGAAATTGAATTATTTCTCCACTAAATGGTATTATGACCTCGATATATTCTCACTTCCAAGGTTCAGGAAATTCCATTCATCAGAGTGAATGATTGGATGATTTTGGTGTGTAAATTGTAGGTCTATCATATTTGTTGCTCTGGCGAGAATAAGCAGCATAATGGTGCATCAGTGTAGTGGCCAGGATGTGCCGTATGAAATGATAATAGAGAGCAGATTGCCAGTAGAGTATGCCTTAGAGTCTTTTAGACAAGAAAGTTTACAGTAATTGCACATATATTTTGGTCATTATAAATGGGCTAGCTCTTAGCTTTTACTCAACCATTAACAACCTATCACACGTGAATTTGTAAATGAAATTTCAGTATCAGTGTTCTACAACCTGAAACTCTAAGCTGGTTGACATGTTTGATTTTGTAGGTTTTAGTTCTTCTCCTGCTAACCTCTGGAAGAGATCCTGGGATCATTCCTCGTAATGCACACCCCCCAGAACCTGAAGGCTATGATGGAAGTGCAGAAGGTGGTAGCCAAACTCCACAATTACGCCTGCCTCGCATCAAGGAAGTAGAGGTTAATGGCATTACTGTAAAGATCAAGTATTGTGATACCTGCATGCTTTATAGACCTCCTCGCTGCTCACATTGTTCTATCTGCAATAATTGTGTTGAGCGATTTGACCATCATTGCCCTTGGGTTGGGCAGTGCATTGGGCTGGTAAGATATGCGGTCTACAATGACTGCCTTTAATAACTTTATGCATTGATCTGCTTCTATTTGATGCATTATGATGTTTCTTTTTTACTTTGTAATTGGTGATGAAGCTTCATGAGCTTGGGCTTGTGGGAATTAATTTCCTTTTTGAAGTTGAAGAGTGATTAATCGAAATTGAAGAGGCATACTTGTAGGCTAAAGAACTGTCAAGGTCCTTTCTCTTTAATATCCCCAATGTCTATGCAATTTAAAAGACTCTGCTGTAGTATTTGTAACACAGTTAATTCAATCTATATATTAGTTACTGCATTAGCTTACCTAGAACATGCACGGAAGAAACTGGATCAAATTAGTGTACAAGACCATAATATATTTAACCAGTGGGCCAATGTTCCCAGGGACATTATTTTGTGGTTTTGTCTGCCAAAGTCTGACTAACTACATTTAAGTTTTCATTTTTTGTAACCCATCTGACCTTTTCTCTAAGCTAGCAATGCATTTCTAGCTCGGTTGCCAAACACTTTCTTGTCATTGAAATTAAGTTGCAAATTGTGGGTTGAATTTTCGATTGTCAGTTTTTTCGTTTAAATGTAGTATAATGTCCAAGAAATTCCATTTGGTTTGACCAATTTCAAGTTCGAAATTGAATCTAATTTCAAGCCATTTAGTCATATGCAATATATCATTAGGATGTGCATTGTTTCTTCTTTCGTACGTGTCGTCCATGAAAATCTGACTGTCTTTTATCATTGAGCCACATGACAATTTGTCGTTAGTTCACCATCCAAGACTAACATAGTACAACTTGAGCTATTTATCACTTCTGAGTTGATATTTTATCACAGGAACCACAGGATTAGAGATTATACCAGACCATATATCCCCTGATAAGCTATCAACATTGTCTTTCTGGCTTTGTTGTTCAGAAATTATATTTTGCTTATTGCCTACCAAATATCTAATGCCTGACAAAAATTTTCGGTGTTGATCCCTTTTTTTCTTGTAAATATGATTCTCAATATTATATTGGTTTAAAGAAAATTAATTTCCTTGTACATCTGAATCTGAACGTTTGACAATTTTGGACACAGCGGAATTATCGATTCTTCTTCATGTTTGTCTTCTCGACGACTCTTCTTTGTATATATGTCTTTAGTTTCTGCTGGGTATACATTACGAGGATCATGGATTCAGAGAATACCACAATATGGAAAGCAATGATTGAAACCCCTGCTTCCATAGCTCTAATCGTTTACACCTTCATATCAATGTGGTTTGTTGGTGGGCTCAGCGCCTTTCATTTATATCTCATCAGCACAAATCAGGTCAGAGCTTGAACTTATGTCAGTATCTCATACTGAAATATATATGCATTTGGTTCAGGTAAAATATGTACTTAGTGATTTATAACAGGAATCTTTGTGTGCTGTGTTTTTTGCAGACCACTTACGAGAATTTTAGATATCGATATGATCGGCGAGCCAACCCTTATAACCAAGGAATTGTGGAGAACTTCAAGGAGATATTGTGCACCAGTATCCCACTGTCCAAGAATAATTTCAGGGCAAAGGTGCCATGGGAACCTGAGTTACCAGCTCGATCTGTGGGTGGGGGTTTTGTTAGTCCCAACATGGGTAAAGGTGTGGAGGACATAGAAATGGGCAGAAAGGCAGTATGGGGAGATATTGGCACTGGGGCTGATCACCATGAAGAGCGGCTTAGTGACACTGATGGCCTGAACATTAAGAATGGTGGATTAGGTGAAATGTCTCCCGAGATGAGGACTACTGTAAATGAAGGAGATCGTGCTGGAATACATACCAGGAGATCCAGTTGGGGAAGGAGAAGTGGAAGTTGGGAAATGTCACCTGAGGTTCTGGCTTTAGCATCTAGAGTGGGAGAACCAAACCGAATGGGTGGGAGCAGCAGTCGTAGCAGCTTGATCTCCTCCTGGGCTGCAGAACCTAAGCTGTAATGGACGGATAGGGTTGAAAGAGAGATTTAACTTGGTTGCTTGAAGCAGGCTTTTTGAGGTCTGTTGTGTGCTCATTCAAACTTATACGATGTGCACTATGTAGGACTTGCTTTGACAGGGTGTTAGAAGTGCTGGTTTAGCAATTGTGCTTTCCGAAGGAGTGGTGTGGTGTGGTGTTGTGGTAAGAGTTGCTTTCTTCTTCATTCCTGATTTGTATTGCATTCTAGTGCCTAAATGTTTTCATTCCCTTTATGGGGCTGTGGTAATTGACAACCTTGCTTTATATGCTCTTATAACCATTCTGTCTGCCATCAATCCTGTGGGTTGCATTGGGACAACATATCAAATTCGTATCACTCAGAATGATTGCATCCCAATAGCAGAACTCATTCATATCATGGAAGTGCTTGCTGGCGTGATGCCTAAAACGAATTCATGATGTTCTGGGATTTTTTTGGCTGGAAAATGGGTTGAATGGAACCATTATGTTGGCCCTTTTCTTATATTTTTACTATTTCTTATTTCTTTGTGCTCAAACTGATACCCATGTCCTGGGTCCAAAAGGTTTTTGAAGTTATGGTAGATCTTGATACATGGATTCAGATCCTTATACTTTCTCTTCAATTCTCTTCTTGACATGTTATCCACCAATTAACAAAACTCCTCAACGAACATAGAAACCAATTATCATACCACTTTCGTTTTTTTTTTTTTTTTTTTTTTAAATGTTGGTGGGGGAATTTGAAATACTTCACACTTCCATCTGTCATATTTTGTATAAAAACACAGGAATCTAAAACGACGTTAAATCCATCTCATGCTTTAGAATGACAAGAAAGTAAGAGTATAAGCTACTATAGGTATCAATGCGATCATGGGTTTTGACTTTGAAATTTTGTGGAAAGCTATGGTATGGTAGGTATGTGTGGTTGATTGAAGCATTCAACAGTCATCCTCAAGATACAGTCAGTTATGGCTACTTTTCTCTCCAATTAATACGTTCTGGTTTTATTACTCAAAAGAGAACAGCATGCATATGTACCGTAATTACTTTTGTAAAAGTGGACTATTTATGTTGGATGATGAAACTATGGCATTGTTATTGTTACATTATGCATATTCAACATGAAATAAATAAAAAGGAACAGGACCAATTGTGACACGAATTCAAGATTACTTGAACAGTTGAGTTTGAGAGGTGTCTTCTTTATTATCATTTAGGTAAGGCTAATGATATTCATTTAGGTACCAATCCTCCATTCAATCTCAACCATTGATCCTAAATTGAATGCTTTGAAATTATTAATTATAAGATAACAAAATATTAAAAAAATTGTACATGACAAATTTTTAACGAATAAAAAATAAAAGTATGTCACGTACCATAATGGGACTCAATTGATTTTTGCTCTATCAGAGTTTTGAGAGATGTCAATTGCCACACATCACAGCAGACTACATTTGGAAAGGGAAAAATTTTATGATGTGTCCTTGGCGAATAGAAATGTGCTTGTATCACTTAGACTCGTAACTCTGAATAGAATCAATGATAAAACCCGAGGTATGAATTGGTCTCTCAACTCATATACTATTTAAATTAGGACTTACGTTTCGCTAGGAACTCAAGACTCATACTAAAAATTTGGACATAATTCGTCTAAATAACTGAAATCTTATCCTACCAAGTAGTATGAATCAGTCTCTCAACTCATATACCATTTAAATTAGGACTTACGTTTCGATAGGAACTGAAGACCCATATCAAAAATTTAGACATGATTCATTCAATTAATTGAAATCTTGTCTTACTGAGCAATCATGCTATTGCGCCCAAAAAACTTTGAATCCCTGACCTCCCACTTAAAAGTAAGAGACTTTGGCCAACTAAGCTACCCAGTTGGTTAGCAGACCAAAATTCAACCTAAACTAATTCTGCTGACAGTGAACGGTTCTCTCTCTACATCAAATACGAACCCACGTGCTAAACTTCAGGGACCCGAAAGAGGGGCATTGAGAAAAACTTCAAAAATTTCAGTGATCTTTCCGTAATTCATTTGAGTTGACTATAAGTAGACAGTGGCTGATTTTTGTCTTCTACTTGCTGGAAAAGTGTGCTATATAGGGAAGGTGTGAGTTAATAACTGCCATGAAATAATTTAGCTATAGCAGGGTAAAACGGGCAACAAATGTACTAACTGTTTTTTTTTTCCCCTTTGCAAAAACATATGTAGTCCATAACCGTATGTCTGTCCAGCTAAAAGTTCCACATTGACGTTTTTCATTTTAGCCAAGTCACTTCTTTTTCTTTCTTCTCAACGGAAGGCATTACTACCAGATGCTTTTGGTCTGAGAGACAAGCCTCTCATGTCAATGTAGGAGAGAGAAATCAGGTTAAGTAGGTGGGTACCATGAATCTTTCTTATTTTGGTTCATTTTCCTCAATCTGCAATATGCTTGATGCCTCTTGATTCATCTTAGTTGCTAGTTTTGTCCTTTCAGCTCTGTATTAGAGTATACCCTGTTGTTTTTACCCCTCTTCCTCTCTCCTTCAGTTTTGATGGGATTCAAATGGTGTTTATGCAGACATTTTTCTGAGTTCTTTCGTGCTGTTATTGTTCATGGGCAGACAGACATGTACAAGAATCAGCTGCAGGAGCTTGCACAAAGGAGTTGTTTCAATCTTCCTTCTTATGCCTGCATCAGAGAAGGGCCTGATCATGCACCTAGATTCAAAGCTTCTGTGAACTTCAATGGAGAGATCTTCGACAGCCCCAGTTATTGTAACACCTTAAGGCAGGCTGAACATGCTGCTGCTGAAGTAGCTCTCACTGCACTTTCCACAAAGGGTCCTTCAAGGTCTTTGACTGCAAGAGTTCTTGTAAGTCCCTCCCTTTCAGAAACACACACACACTCACACACACATGGTTTGTTTTGGATATCTTGTTGTCCAATACCTATACTTACAGAGTTTCTTATTTTTTATACACCAAAGGATGAAACAGGTGTATACAAGAACCTCCTCCAAGAAACTGCCCACAGAGCTGGTCTGAACCTCCCCGTATACACCACAGTGAGATCTGGTCCTGGCCATGTCCCAGTTTTTACTTCTACCGTAGAGCTCGCAGGGATGAATTTCACAGGAGAGCCAGCCAAAACAAAGAAGCAGTCTGAGAAGAACGCTGCTATAGCAGCCTGGTCGGCATTGAAAAGAGGTAATTTATGCTTTCCCCCCCTTTTTTAGAGTTTTTGTCATGTTTGGTGGTTGGGTTTTCAGAATGATATCAATAATCATTTTATCCATCTGTGTAGTGCCAAACTTGGTTTCACTGTCTCATACAAGTAAGGAAACAGACAATCATGATCAACAGGAGCAGGTAATTGTGGCTAGAGTTCTCTCAAACTTAGAACCCAAATATGAAGGCAAAACAGCTTGGAGAAAGGACCAGAATCAAGCAAGAAGAACAATGCTGAAGTGTCACAGAGACAACAGATCTATTAATCCTCCACAGTATCAAGATTGGAAGTTTATGGATTTACTGATGGATTCTGCCTTAGAAGTTTCAAGTCAAAAGCAGAACAGCTTTGCATCTCTACTGCCGTCACCCCCACGGAGAACAAATTCCAATATCTTACCAACTTCATCTAGCCACAATCCAACTCTCCACCAATCAATAACAACAATGCCTAGCCCCCTTAAAGTCATGGGCAGATCACAAGTTAAAAGGCAAGACGTAGCAACTCCAGTGGATGAGCATCAAAAAGATGAGGATGAATGGCTTTATGGAAAACTAGAGGTCAACAAGAAGCCCATTGAAAAGGAAGGTCCTAGCAAATCAATTTCAAGTGCAGCTTATGAGGCAAATCATATAATCTGCAGGCCATTTGCAGTGCCAAATACAGGGAAGTTCAACACTTCAGTGCCAAATCGTAGTCCTCAAAATGAAAAAACCCATATCGGAACCAGGCCATTTGGGCCACCAACTCCATCTCAAATGGCCATCCCTCCTCCTATCAAGGCTCCTTCATGCAGCCACATACGCAGGACCTTATACAGTGGAGGGCGCCACCCACAGAGAACTGCTCCAGCAGTTCAAATCAGATCAGTCATCCCAGTATGTGCAGCAGCACCACCGCGAATGAGAACCCCACCAAACCCTCCGCCAATGAAAGAAGCTACTTCAACACCAACACAGTCAGGAGCTGAGGATTCATCCTGCCAGCCCAAAGTTCAACGAGCTACAGTTGTGCTCAACCCAACTCAGCTCGACCTTCGACAAGACCCTGCGGTTATGAAGTAGAAAGAAATTTAATTTAAAATTAGCATCTGTCGTTAGGTATCCGATGTTGTTTTGTCCCTTAAACAGAATACGTTTTTTTGGCCTGAATGTTCTACCGCCGGGATATATTGTAAAAGATGACATCTTTTTTACATGTTTTTACCCCCACACACAATTACTGCAAGGAGAGAGAGGCATTAATTGAGATCTGGAGAGTAGGTTGGGTGCAGATAGAGAGCAATGAAGGCAATCTGGAGAGGAGAGGACGAACCAGACAACTGCAGCGATAAACGCGAGCCCATTAATTTACCCGTCAGAACAAATGAATTGGTCCTGTCTTCACCATTAATGCGCTCGCTCTCTCTCTCTCTCTCTCTCTCTCATGCCCCTATGGATAGCTAGTGTGAAGCTTGTCCCTCTCTCTTACTTTTTTGTTCACAAATCTGATCAACTATAAATAAATGAGATATAGGTTAAATAATTTTTTGACACGTTATCTTAGACACAATACATTTCCTATAAGAGGATTAATTCTTCATACTCCCCACTATTCAAAAATTTAAACGTAAAGTAGCCGTTATAAACTAGGGGCACATTAGATATTACATGGATAAAAGAGTCAAGACTCATTCTTTTGCAATCCAGTGTCTGTCAGATCATTATAGCTGATTCAAAAACGCTGACTTTGAGCAAATTATGTGATGGAAAACACTGATCTTACCCTACCAAATAGGCCTTTTAAGTGGGAAAGTAATGGGAGTAGTAGAGGGCAGGGTAGGGAGTAGAGAAGATAGGGTGCACCCTACAAGCATACTACCATACTATACTATATTAAGGTTACTATTATGGTTGTGTTGATTTTAAGTATTTAGAATGTTAGGATATCTTTTAAATGAACACACCAAATAGTTGAGCTAATTTAAGAAGGTTTGTATGTAATTAAATGCTCTGTTCATCCGGGCCTTGAACCATTTATAGTGGTAATACCGAATCTAAAATATGTGTTCAAGATATGAGTATAAGTGAGATAAGATGGACTTATATGTTATTTTATCCAATCATTCTTTCATAATACTTAAAACAAACACACTCTTAGCTAGAGTTGCTGCCTTGTGTGGGAGAAACTATCTCCCAGCAGCCAGAATCAGATTGCTGATGGACATCGAGTCTGATGGCTCTCTGAATTCCATGATTCTGCATGTAGATTTGATGTTAGAAGCCTCACATGTACCATACTACTTAGTACTTACAACTGGGTTTAGTTTGTTTGAAGGAACCAACAAAGGTTTTCTTACTTGGTCCAAAACTGGATATGAATTGATCATCCTACCTTCTTAAATCTGGAAAAAATCTGTATTTTTTTTTTGGGCCCAAAAGCACTTTTAAAGTGTGCAAATGCTGGAGGCATTCCTATCCAGACTGTCCCCTCCCCACCGGTAATTTCTTAGTGAAAATATATCATTTTTATTTTTTATCCCTCTTATCAAAAAAAAAATAAAAAAAATAATTTTCTTTCATTCAAGGATGAAAATCTTATTCTTTTCACTTTTTCTTCCTTCCTTTTTTCCATCCTTCGTACCAAACGAACCATAATACTACATCAAAGCGGATCATTACATAAACTCACTCTATTTCCTTTCTAGTTCAGAATTAAGTTATATAGCAGACAGCAGAACTTTATGGACTCAAATATTCACATGTGACATTAGTAATATAACTCCAGACAACCTAAACATTTCCAGTATCCAATGGACGGAAAACCTACATATGATTATGTTGACATATTTTGAATTGCGGGCATGCCAAATGTCCTTAAAAGACCTAGTTTCCACATATTTATGACCTTACTTACTTGAACTAGTGTGAGGTTATAAAATTGTGACTGTTCAGGCAATTAAAACAAAGTTTTCTGTTACTTCTAAACAATTTAAGATAACTTAACAAACAATTTTCTTAACAGCGAGCGAGTGGATTAAAAATTTAAGATAACTTGAGAAAAAAGACAGTAATGCAAACGACAAAGAGAAATTGATATATGATCTACTGTACTTTAAATTAAACGAAAAAAAAGGCCACCAAAGTGACGATTACAGTGTAAAATAAATAAACTAAACAAAACAGTGTAGAGGAAGGCTCTAGTATACTTTACGCGTGTGTGTGTGTGTGATTGAGGGACCTCCTCTTTGTAACCTAGCCCTCTATAGTTATAGGTGGCCCAAGCCATCTTTTATGGACCTCTATTTCCAACATCATCTATCGTGCATGAACTGCCTGTAATCGTCAGTTCATGGTATCACGTCTTTTCATTATCCGAGATTCATGAAGACCATTTTTTTTTCTCTTATTTGCCTGATTTCCCTTAAATCTTTGATTTCCCTTAAATCTTTGTTGACTTGATCCGAGCCATTGGCCCTTGCTACATGTTACCTGTACATTTTTATTATTCTGAGTGTAAATAGATTACCAAAGTGTAGCCTCAAAACACATAATGGCTTTTTTTTTCTCCAGAGCCAGCTATCAACTCAAACGATATGAAAGTACGGTTCAATCAGAAGAAACAATACGAAAACCTTCACCTACATATTGATACTCTTAGGAAACATGTAATTACCGATGCAAGAGGTAACTACCAGAAGTAACTCCTATGCTCATATTAACATGGAAGTAACCAATCTCACACAAACACATAGGTCACGAAACTCAAGCAAGAAAAGGACAACATGGGTAAGGGGTCAAACCTCACCACGTTCTATGATGTTCGTCAATGTAACCAATAAATAAAGTGGGAAACAAAACAGAAAAAATATTATGTACCTGGGGAAGGGCCCCATGGGAAGCAGTCTGACCTCCGGTTACTTTGAAGTCGAGGTATCCCGTGCAACTGCAATTCCTGCCATAGCGTCATCTTTTTGTGATTTTGGAAGAGACTAGTCCTTTGCATTCAAAATTACACCTCTCAGGTCCCCAGATACAATGCACTTAACGCAATCAATCGTAAGGATTATGCCCCTGCCTGCCAGATCCAAGAGCAATTCCCTCCCGGATTTACTAACCAATTGCACAGAGCCATTTTATTACAGACCAAACGTCGGAATTCTCCACCAGTAAGTTCTTCACAAAATTTAGTTGGTTTGACAGTTTACCGATCTTTTTTACTTTAGCAATACTTGTAAAATCTTGATTTAAGTTTGATATTACAAAAAGGAAACGAAGCATAATTTTCTCATTGATACTCTCTCTATTACTTACCACCATAATTCTTAATATGTACGATACGTCACGATACAGAGGTAAAACGATACGAATTATATTTCTATATCATTTTTGATAGTATCATCTGATACACGACATGATTTTACGATACGATCATGGGCGGAGGGAGGTAGGGGCTTCGGTGGGTACATGCCCCGCTTAAATTTTTTTTTTTTTTATTAATTAGATATATGTATTATATATTTATACATATATATTATGTATGCCCCCTCATTTATATTAGGTCCACATTATTTACCCAAAATAATTGAACAATTAAGTCCATTTAAAACAAAAAAATAGAACTCACTAAAAACAAAACTTTTAGCTCAACATTAAAAATAAAATTTTTGGTCCAACATTAAAAATAAAACTTTTAGCCCACTTGACTAAAACCTATTTTATCTTTTTTTTTTTTTTTTCTCTGTATCACTCACTTCCAGCTACCCACTACCCACTACCCACGACCCAACCACAAGAAACAGAGAAAAACTCAACACACGAGAAACTCAATTCCTTGAGTTTTTTTGTTCTTCCTTGCACCAACCTATAAAATTATTTTATACATTATAATTACCCCCTAATATTTTGAAAATTTTAATAATGGTTATAGTCGTTTTTTTTAAATAAATTAGTGGACCACTAACCCTCTAAAATAAATATGTTAGTTTTGGATTGAGTCAATGTTTTGTTTGTATATTGACGAAAATACAATATTTCTCTTCATCTAACACAATGTTCATTACTTTTTAAGAATAATTTTTAATTTTTATTTACCATTTTTCTAATAATAGTAATTTATAACCTAATAAAATTCAAAAATTAATTTACATTTAATTCATATATAAAATTTTAGAGATTTTAAAAAAATTTATATTTTATTGAAATATATAATTAGGTTAAAATGTACTAAAAAAATTATTTTGTGTCTTTTTGTTAAGATTTTGTTTCGGATAAATAAAAATTGAATTTACTATTTCACAATAATTTAGTATTGATTCTTACTTTTGTTTTATTCTTGAACTGAATTTTTTTGTATTAATTTCAGCTTAATATTTTTTTATACCAGTTATATTTTGCCTCTATCATAGATATTTATGGCTCAGCCCCTAATAATATACATTTCTTTTTTGGAATTTTTTTATGTTAAATGGACTTCATATATCAAATATAATATAATAAATATAAATATGTTATATAGTGTGATTAATTAGAAGGAAAAAAATTAGAATACATAATTAAAATGTGCACTCTGAATAAAATTCTTGGCTCCACCCATGGATACAATACATATAATTTTGTATCGTTTTTACGTAGTATCATCCAATACATGACACGATTTTACGATACACACAATACGTGTATAACTATTTAATTTTCTTTTTTTAAATGGAACGACGTCCTTTTTATGTTAAGGAGGCAGATTTTTTTATCCCTAAAGCCACTGAAACGGAATTGTTTCAGAGACTAGGGTTTACAAAAAAAAAAAAAAAAATCTCTCTTTTCTCTCTATTCTTCTCCTATTCTTCGTTGTCTTGAGTGACTCTGTCTGTTCTTCACGACAACGAAAGACGAAGCAAACCCCAGTCTCTCTCTTTTCCCTCTTCTTCACCAACGATGAACCTAGTCCCTCTCTCTCTCTCTCTCTTCTTGACGACGACGAAGCCAAGTGTTTCTAAGCCCTTTGTTCTTCAAGACGACGAGCTCAGTCTCTCTCTTTTCTCCGTTCTTCATCGACGAAGCCCTATTCCTCTCAACGAAGCCCACTTTCTCGCTTCTCTCTGTTCTGAGAAGCCATCGAAACAGCAGCTTGCCAAGCCAGTCCCTGCCTCTAAATCTGGATTTGCAACTGCAGCTGCCTTCTTCTTCCTTCTCCAACAAAACCTGTGTAAGAAATGTTGTTAATTTACAAAGCCAATTTTATTTTTTTTTTCAAAATTTCTAAATCTTGATTAATGTTAATTTTTTGAAGCAGTGTTAATGCTATAATCTTGAATCTTGAATGTTCATCAACATAGTGTTAATGTCAATCTTGAATCTTGATCAATTTTAATCCTGATCAAAATTTTTGAATCTTGATTAATGCATTTGCAATTGAAATTGAAGATGGAGTTCAAAATAGATGTTAGAAATTTGG